TCAGGGTTTAAGAGCACTGGCTGCTCTTCATATGATCTGGTTTTGATTCACAGAACCCACATAGGAACTAATAACCATCTGTAGCTCCAGCTCCAAGCAATCTGATGCCCTCTTCTGAGCTCTAAGGGTATTGCATGTCATGGGTTCACTTACATACATGCAGGCAATACATTCATACACACAAAATAAAAATAATAAATAAATTTTTAAAAGTTATTTACAAATGTGCTTATCCATTTTCTCAACAGGGCTGTGGGAAGGCGAAAGTACCCACCACCTCTGAAATTATAAAAGAATCTTGTCAAGTCCAGAAATCTTAGCAAAACTGCTCTCAAAGAAACTACCCTACGACTGGCGAGATGGCTCAGTTAGCAAACATGCTGGCCACCAAGGCTGAAGACCTGAGTCCAATCCCTGGGACCCACAAGGTGGAAGGAGGGAACTGACTCCTGTAGGTTGTCCCTCTGACTTTTGCATGTTCTGTCAACTGACCATGTGTGCACACACACAATAAATAAATAAATGCAAAATTTTCTAGTGTGTGGGTAAAGTTTTTCTTCTGTTTTTCCTTCCATCCATTCATCCATCCAACCAACCATCCTTTCCTCCTCCCCCTCCCCCTCCTCTTCTTAAGACAGGGTCTCACTGTAACCCAGGGTGGCCTGGAACTCACTTAACCCGGTCTCAGAATTGCAGCAACCCTCCTGCCTCAGGCTTCCAAGTGCTGGAATGGCAGGCATGAGCAACATGGTCTGGCTAAGTAATGTTTCTTCTTGTCATACTTGAGGTGTTGGGGATTAAACCTAGGGCGTGGGGCCCTCAACACTATATCCAGCATTTTATGAGACCACTCACCTTCGAAATCGCACTACCTCGTTTATTTGCAGGTATTAAATGTTACAGGCTTGCCTTCGTTAACTTGGTGCTTCTGAGTCGTTTATTATTGGAGTCACACAGTGTGCCGATGACTCATCACAGCCCAGCTCACTGTGAGGAAACAGATTCCTAAGACTGAGCGAGTTTTATGAAGTTTTGCACTATCTTTGGAAGCAATCGAGTTGAAATGTTTGTCAGAGGTGTTCATTCATCCAGAATATATTGAGGATCAATACATAGGTACAAAAGGCAGTTATGCATTGAGATACATTGAGTTCAGGATGATCTCTGCTTTGGAGAGAGGCAAACAAAAAGGTGGGGGTTTACATGCTGTCAATGGCTGCTTAGGAATACCCTCTCTAATATGGCAGTTGAATAGACCTAAAAAAGGCTGGGGAGAGGCTGGATTTGGCTATGCAGACAGAGGTTGGAGGTGGGTAGGAGCGTTGCAGGCAGCAGAATGCACAAATGAAAACGTTCTGGCAAAGAACCAAACTGTCCTGATTTCCATCAGGATCTTCACTAGCCACGGCTCCACGGAGAGCGGGGAGAAGGGCGAGCAGGGGGCTGCGTGGAACCAGAGAGAGATGGCTGCCTCACCTTGCCTTCTTCCCGAGTCTAGGAAAAATATTCCAGAATTTGTGCGGATTGCACCTGTGCCTCTGGCAG